TTTCATGATATTATGAAATTATATATATTTAAATATGACAAAACATTTTCAGAATGCTTCCAACGAAGGCGTTCTATTCCATACTATTCAGCATAATTTATAGCATCGTACTGTTGACTTTGCACATTTGTAGACGCTTCTTCAGCATTTTATTCAGCGTTGTCTGTGCGAGGCAATGTGCTTAGGGCACAGTTATAACGATTGGATTATTAAAATTATCATCAATTCTATGCGAGGTAGAATCGAAACCACGACAAATCCTAAGAACATAGCATCTTGATCTTCATATATAAAATCTTTATTTGGAGAATCTTCTCTTTATACCAAAGATCCTGATTGGATATGGTCACTGTGATTATGCCTTCAAGTGGGGCTTTACAAACATGCAGCAAACTTGTGTCCTCCTATGACCTTTTAAAAAAAAACTTGCTACAAATGAACACAAAATAAAGCTATATCATATCTACTCTTGCGTGAAGAGTAGTAAAAAAGTATCCAATATTTCCTATTTTTCATGAAAAAAAGTACAACAAAACTGAGGTAATGCCAGCTCTGATCGCCAGCCACTCCCGACTCCAACAACTGCTCGAAATTCCGTCTTTTTGCTCAACCAGTGGTACTCTGCCCTCAAATCCAACGGACATTGTTGGTCTTTGGCCCGACTGGCGGCTACCTCAGCCGGCTTGGTTGAGCTCGACTACCGGACGTGATGCCGGCTCGAATGAGTACGCGTCAGGTGAATTTCGCATGCCCAACGATGAACTGGGACCATTCGGTGAATTCACAGTGACGCTGGATCACTTGAAGTCCGGATTTACGTACCATGTCGTACTGTCGCCCGTGATGCTCGAGGCTGCAGAAGAACCAACCCATCTAAGAAGGGATATTTACGACGATTGCAATTTTAAGACAGGTAACTAAGCCTCCATTGGCGGCTTGATTGTATAAGTGAGAAAAAGATTATTCATACTCTTAAAGAATGATAACCTCCATAGCCGGAGCAGTGATTTGGTACATCTCCACACGTTTCTAGGGCAACATAGTCGCCATACTTCGTAAACTAGACAAGCGAAGTGGGTTGACCTCGTTGTCGCAACGTGGTCTTGTTGTCATGGAGACTAGGTACAACGCATCTAGTCCGAAGTCGTCTGCCATAGTAGTTGTCATGACTCCCAGCATCAGACAGTGGACTTGGTACATTTTCAAACGTTTCGCCGGCATCGTAGTCGGCATCATCGGTGAGTTCTGTCATTCTGTGCAACAAGCTACGAGTTCATCAAAGAGACAAGTGAAAGAGACAAACGTTCTGTCGAAACTGGTTACCCAATCAATCCGCTTTCTGTCCTGGCCCATCTATCTACTCTTTACCCTCTTATCCAACGTCGGCGAAACGTTTGAGAATGTACCAAGTCCACTGTCTGATGCTGGGAATCATGACAACTAAAATGGCAGACGACTTCGGACTAGGTGCGTTCTACTAAGTCGCCCTGACGACAAGATCAAGTTGCGACAACGAGGTCAACCCACTTCTGAGATTTTTTACTAGAAATCTTATTTTCTTGGAAATTTTTTATGGAATACATCTCATATTACTGATCTACTGGTAGTCTCGAAACTCTACTCCAATACAAAAATAAGTAACGATCATTTATTTTGATAGTAGCTTTTTATACTATCCTTAATTTTTAAATAAGAACTTGTTCAATCGAGATCATTTAAGCTAATTAAATTTTTCTCAAAATCACATTTCTAAACCTCAAAATGCCAT